GTAACCTTCATTTTGTAATTAAAGACCATATTAGAATAAGGTCCAAAGAAGGGTCTCCTACTTTGGATCTTAATACTGTCTCTACTTCATTTTGGCCTTTTAGACTTTAACATATTGTAATGTCAGGTTTTGGCCACTACTACGTGTCCTCAACTACGTGTCCTCAATACTATCTTCCTTTACTTGTCATAAAACAAAGAAAACACAAAACCTAGTCCTTTATTGTTTAATATATATCCTTAATTTTGATTTGACTTTAATTAATTACTAGTTACTGGTTGTGATAACAAAAGGGTGGACTTTGAAACTTCCTTAGATTATATTTTATAAACAAACACTTAATTTATTTAGTGTGGAGTTGTGTTTGGTTCTGTTGAATAATTTTAATTTGTTTGTTTTGATTGAAAAATTGTTTTGATTAAACCAGTACCATGTTTTAGTTTCAATACTATTTATGGTAGTTTATCTTGGAAACAAATTTCTTTCTAAACTTTATGCATTGGTAGCCTGTTGGTAAAAACCTGTATATATCCATCACTAATTACTAACTGTCATTATTCTTTGATAATTGTTTCCGACAAGACCATTACCAACAAAATTTTACCTGTCAAAAATACGTCAGAAAAATTACATTATCAACATATTGTTACCATTATCGACGGATACCTTTCGTAGGTAAATTTACTTTTTTTAGGTGTCCTTATTTTTGTCTCACTGATTCAATTTAATCTCAATTTTTCTTAAAATGAAATAATATTGTCCCTTTTTAAATTAAGAAAAAAATTATTATTTTTATAAATATTATACTGATATTTTTACTAACTCATAATGATCTTTATAATTACCGACAAATCTAATCTGTCAATAATTATTGATGACCTATATCCGTCGATAATTATTGACCGTCATTATTCGTTAGTAATTCTTATCAGCAAGACCATTACCATCAAATTTTTACTTGTCAAAAATCCAACAAAAAACTTACATTATCAACATATTGTTGCCATTACAAAAATACCTTTTGTAGGTAAATCCAATTTTTTTTAGTATCCCTATTTTTGTCTCATCGATTTAATTTAATCTATTTTTCTTAAAATGAAATAATATTGTTCCTCTTGAAATTAAAAAAAAATATTATTTATATAAATGTTATAATGATATTTTTACTAACCAATTATTTATTGATAATGATTGTTACTACGAAACTTTAGTACAAATATTAATATAACATTTATACAAATAATAAATTTGGTCATAATTAAAAGAAGAATAGATATTTATTTATATCAATGATATTAATTAATTTATTTTTATAAAAACAAATGGATTAATAATATATTAGTTTTAAATACTTGTTTTTATATAAAAATATTTATACTTAATAAATTTTAATCTTATAAAAAACGTAGATTAACAAAACATGTATTATTTATAATAATGTAAAATGTTAAAAAATTATTTTAAATAAAAATACCAGTATAATATTTATACAAATAATAAATTTTGTTTCAATTTGGAGAGAATAATGTTCTTCAAAAAAATTAGAATTAAATTGAATCAAGGAGAGAATTAAAGAGACTAAATTGAATCAAAACTAAATTGAAATCAAAGATAATGACATTTGATACTAACACTAACATCTAAGAGTACTATACCACATAGCATTGAGAGTGATGTGTGTCACACCATGGACTTGATACATGACAATAGAATTTTTACAAAAGAATTAATTATTTTTTATTTCAAAAGAACCACATATTGACCCATGACATGGTGTTATTAATTTTTTTTTTTTCAAAAAAGACCTTACCGAAATACTCTTTGAAAATGAAAATCAACTTCACACACGCCCACGGAAGTGAGGCTATCTTAAGCCAGATTAAATATTGGAAGTCATTTCCAATAACCAAGACTTCAAAAGAAAGTCAGGTACTACACACTATAATTTTGATTTTGGGTATATGTCGTCATAAACACGACTTTCAAAATATTTTTTCACACCACATCTACATATTTGGCCATCTTTTGCTCTTTCAAAAAAAGTCCTTCGCCTACTTTTGTCTCTATTAGACCATATAGTCTAACACTGGTATAGAATATTAAATAGTTCCCGTGAGTTTCAATTTGTACAAAACACATAATATAAAATTTATGTAAAAGTAAACTGTATATAATTAGTTGAATACTTATTATCATCAAAATTCTTTAAAAAAATTAAGAGATTAGAATGAGATTACACTATAGTAGAGAAGATGTAGGATAAAGGAACTTATGTGGTGCATGTGAAGGAGTTTCACACTTCTACATTGGTCTTTATGGAATTGCTGAAGATAATTCACTTCTACATACCAAAGTTATGTCTTATACGTAGAAATATCACGCAGTTTTCCGTAGCATAAACTTCTCTTGGTCAAAAAGCAATCCTTTAACATCAATATCACGGTAAGACTAAAACTTTCTCTCTCTTTCATAGTCTCTCTTTCTTTAGTATGTGTTTTTAACAACTTGTTTTAACAACATCTTTACAATAATCTACGTGATAGTTTGTGATTGGTTCGTGTACTGTACGGACTGGGCGGTCCAGAGAGCAGCGCCGACATCAACCTAACCGCCAGCGTTTCTTCAATCTTTTTTACTGCGCTCTCTGTCTCTCACTCACGACACTCAAATTTCTTTTTTCTTCGAGTTTGGTTCTCTCATAGCATTGCTAGACAACTTGCATAAACACTCACTGCGTACGGTTCTACTCGATCATTCATCCTTCCACTCAGGTGAGTAATAACCATGAACCGTGCGGACCGAGCAGTCCAAAGGGAGCAGTGCTGAATGGATTTAACTGGACGGTTGTACAACATCGGCCGGTAGGTGAACTGGGTCATTAAAACCATGATTAAAGTAAATAGTGATTAGAGCCATTGGACTAGAATTGCACCGTGATTAACTTTTCACTATTCCCAAACCCATGGCGAAAACTATAAATACAAGTCAAAGGTAAGTGATAAATAGGTTGCATTTAATGCACATTTATTACTGTTCTATTGAATTGTCGAACGGTTCGAATACTGACTTTGGCATTGGAGGATCTTTGACAGGTTCCCTCCCGAACGGAAGAGCAAGACAACAGAGCTTGGAGCGTGACCGGACGACAAGAAGGCAAATTGTGAAGGAGTTTGGTGACTCATCCCAATAACCGAAACAATTCATTTCAAATATATGGACCAATAAAATGGAAATACATAGTCTGTTGTCAAAAAATTGTTAAAATATCATGCTACTTTACACTATTCACTTTTTGTTATACAAAACTGTTCAAAATTGAAGAAAAAAAAAAGAGAAAGACAATAATGTTTCCTTTCCTAGGTCTCTACTGAATAGCTGAAAACATTCTCAATATAGTATTAATTGACCTTGTCTTGGTATGAACAATTCATAGTTGCATTACCCTACAGGAGCACACAGTAATCATATTGCTGATCTCTTAAATCTTGCTGCTAAAGAATAACTGGATTAGGTTGAGGCAAATATTTTCAAAATGATAATATCGTGGTGGCTCCATTAACCTTTGAGGAAATTCTCCAAACAGCGTGGAGTTGTAATGACAACATATATATTTTTAGAATCTCAACCAAAAAAATTTAAATTCCTCTTCAAAGACAAACTGATGGAAAATATTAATTAAGACCACGACAATAATTTGGTAAGTAAAGTGGTCCAAAATGTTAATATAATAAGAATGGTTTAGATAAAGTATTTTATAGCTACTTTTGGAAAAATAGTTTATTCATAAGTGAAAATTAGTTTATGTTTATCAATTAATTTATAAAAATTATTTTTAATTAATTTATAAAAATTATTTTTAATTAATTTATAAAAAATATTTTTAATTAATTTATAAAAATTATTTTTAACTAATTTATAAAAAAATATTTTTTAGTTCATGCAAAAGCTATACTTGAGCTTATAAAAAACTAATTTTCTTTTTTCTTTTGGAAATGTTCCCCAGACATATCTTAAATATAAGTCTCCCTTAATATACAATCCTAAATTACGTTACCCTTTGCCCTTAAATTTCCGAAATAATTGCGATTATTTGAAAATGTTTGTGAATTTCCATTTAACAACTAAATAGTAAAATGGTTGTCAAAATTTTCCTTTCTTTCTCTAATAGTCTTAAGGAAGAACAAGAAAATTTGAATGTTGTATATTTTTGTTCTTGAAAAATATGATGATACGTGGAAACGGATACAAACAGTGTCTACTTATTTTGAAAATTCAGCTATCAGTCCTCAAATATCAGTTTAAAAAATATTTGCGAAAAATTCAGCTATCACTCCTCAAATATCAGTTTAAAAAATATTGGCGAAAAATTCAGTTATCATTCCTCAAATATCAGTTTAAAAGATATTTACGAGTATTTTAAAATTTATGGATAGGGTAGATACCAATAAATATTTTAAAATAAAATATAAATAAAATTACAAAAAAAAATATAAAATATAATATAAATTAAATTTAACCTAATAAAATATAAATTAATTTTAATTTTAATTAAGTTTAACTTAATGCGATATAAATTAAATATTTATTTTTATTTTTTACGAAGAATGATACTATATACGAATAATATGATACACATACTTGACCCGTTTATAGATAGATATTAATACTTACAAATATTAATTATCCACAATATATTTTAGGGTTAAATATGTTTTTCGTCCTTTAAGTATCACACGATTTTGGTTTTAGTCCCTACTCAAAACTTTGATGATTTTTAGTCTTCGTAGTTTTGAAACTCTTAGTATTAATCCTTAAAAATGGATGACGTTAAGTTTTAGTAGATGTGGCAAACGGCAAAGCCAGGTTTGATTCCAACTGCGCTCTACACTCTCTGCCATGTTAGTTTTCTTTTTATTGATGAGATTAAGTGGCACGAGTTGTTGATTGAAATCAGATTAATAAGCACTCCTCCACCAAGCACATAATCTTTTTATTCTCGCATTGAATTTGACCCGAATTCCCTTTCATTAAACCCCATTCTCACACCCCTGCACATAATCCACTCCAGAAGGAGCCACCTTAGCATTCACATTCACATTGACATTCAAATTCCCATTCCCATTCGCACCACCACTTCCATTGTTAGTCAACTCATCCACCTCCAAACTAACACTCTTCCTAACCGAATTAGACCTATCAAGACTCTTCCTCCTCCTAGAACTCGAATCAGAGTAGTACTCTTTAGTTTGTGCATTCCCACCAGGAACGCCCTCATCGTCATTCACCGGCTCCTCCTCAACAGGAATCTGTGTAACAGTCCTCATCACATGCTGTACCGAAGCGTCTTCCACCACCGACAGCATCGTCGACATCCTCGGAAAATTGCTCCGTCCGAGCAAATAACTGTCCAACGACGCCCGTGGCTCCTCCAGCGAGTATCGAGGGTCGTCAAACGACATCCTCCCGGCGTCAAGCGAGAACTGCCTCGCGTCTAGGGAGAACTGCCCTGCGTCTAGCGAGAACCTTGGATCGGTGTCGCAAGACCGCCACCCGAAGCCGTAGTCGGCGATCTCCGACTGCATGTCCCGAAACTGCCACCCGATCGGCTTCTCCACCGGAAGAGAACTGTTCCTCCGCTTCTTCGCTTTCTGCTTCTGCCGCCACCTCTGCAATTTCTTGCTGAAAACCGAAGCCGCAGAGAAGAAGCTTCCCGCGAGGTCCTTGAAGTCACACGCTTTTTGCTGCTTCGCTTGTGATGAGTCAAGGTCGATGTGGTCCTTCATTGTCTTCAGCTTCTCCTCTTCTTCAACGATGGCAACAAACTCTTCTTCCTTAATTAAGAACCCAATTAACAACCCTAATTCTTAATTTGATTTGAATCAAAAACTTGTGCCACTTAATCTCATCAATAAAAAGAAAACTAACGTGGCAGAGAGTGCAGAGCGCAACTGGCCTCAAATCTGACATCGCCGTTTGCCACATCTACTAAAACTTAACGCCGTCCATTTTTAAGGACTAATACTAATATTTTCAAAACTACGAGGACTAAAAACCATCAAAGTTTCGAGTAGGGACTAAAACCAAAATCGTGTGATACCTAAGAGACGAAAAACATATTTAACCCTATATTTTATCTGCAGATATCCGCTATGACGAATATTTTTGTCATTCCCAAACATAGTTAAATCTTTATACTTTTCATCCATTAACTAGGTCATTTAGGAAAATAAATATTCTTATCATTAAAAAAAATCATGTAAAGAGATGATAAACATATCCATGTTTGTTATTATTAGTTGAAATTATCCTGATTTTAACATTTTTTTTATTGATTGAGTAGTATGTATATATTTGTCATATTTTCATATTTATTTTCGTTTTATATTATTAAACAATCTTAGTTTATTAGCTCACTTAAACAATTTATTTTCATTACTCTATTTCATCCTTTATTTTGTTTGATTTAGAAAAAATTTACTGCACAATTTTTTATTCTCACTTTTAATTATTTCACTTATTTGATATTTACCAAATTCTCTCATATTCCGATTGTACTTTCTCTCATTAAAATTTCAACTACATATTTTTGTTTGTGTTATTTTGCTTAAAGAATCTAGAAACGTATGATTCAACTACTTTTAATTATTTTGTTCTTCATTTTAATAATTTTATTTATTATTTATTTTTCTCAAGTAAAAATGTATGTCTATAAATTTGAAGTGTTCAATAATATAAATAATTAATTGATTATATCTAAGCTAAAAAAAAATTATTGTGCATTTTCTTTTTTTTATTAGTTTCATTTTCTTCTTATTTGGAGGTTTTCGACTTTTGCTTCTTTCTATTATCCAAAAACACATTCAGCTCCGTTTGAACTTGTTTCCTCTGTTCTCCCACATCTGCTGGACAACAACATTGAACTTCTCTTCCGCTGGCATGATATTTTAGTTATTTTATGCTCATGTTGTAGTGCTTCTTGTAAGTATTTTCATCACTGCTAGTCTCCAATGAGATTGATCTGCAATAAAACATAAGACAGCTAGACTATGAAGTCTGGATTGATTAGATAACACACGAATTTTACACCTGAAAATCCAAGGCATTAATTACAGAGATTGTTCTGCCTCTCCAGAATATTGGCCCCTACGGCCCTTAGAGACAGTCATAAACGAAGAATCATGATTTCCATAAATGAGACAGAAGCAGGACAAAATGTTAGATAGGAGATGAATCGTCCTATCATTAATGCTATGTTACACCAAATCTTCCTCCATTAATCACAATCATCCTACAAGTACACTCCTAAAGGCATATGACTTTTATTTTCCTATTAACAAGGCTTTTATGCTAGTCATGACAATTAATTTGATATGACAATTAATTTTATATTAAAAAATATATAATGTTATTGTAATTTGTGTTAAATCATATCACTATTGAAAAATTATTAATACATATTATTTAAATTGAATATGTTAAATATATTAAACTCAATTGTATGTATGAATTACAAATGGTAAAATATAATTTTAAACATTTTAACAGATTGTAAATTACTATTTATTGTTATTGCCTAGAAATAGAAAATTCTTTCTCTCATTGAGTATCATTTATAAATAAGACAACTTCTATATAAGATTTTCAACATCATTGTCCCGTGCATCACCACTAATGTACCACATGTTAGTGATCTCCTAGTTGTATGTTTCATTCTTCCTAGCCATAAACTAAGTTTTCTACTCTTTTAGTATTCAACTTATTTCTTTTTAACAAGTGAATGATTAAATAGGTACTTCAATTCCTTTCACAACAATAAATGAGTAGTATTGTACAAGAAGTTTCAATGCTAACTTTTAAAGGATAGGCTTAGAAGAACCACACCCACAAAGATATATATGATCTAATATCCACAAATCTTCAATTCAAATGTAACCTTTCTTTTTGGTCCTTATTAGTTGGGTAATTTTTTTCCGGACACCTATTCCTTTTCTTAGAAATCTCTTTGAGGGATCGTATTTGAAGTCTCTTGAAGTGATTCTTCACTATAATTAATATCTATGAACACAAATTGAGAATAAAAAAACTGTATAAAAATTAATAACTTTCTAATTATTTAGATATAAATTATTAACAAAATAAGTATGGATAAGATACATTTACCTAGGATTGACTGAATGAGTCATGGGTAGGAATGCAACCTTTACTCCACCTTGTTATTAGTACATTGTAAACAACTTCATAACATGTTGAGGTATCATTTTCTTTATTTTTTCTTTCCTATATATAATTGTCTTCACTCTTTTCTTGTTATATATAAGCTCAATCAAAGTCAAAATATATCATTCATAGTATTCCACATCTCATAGTATTCCACATCTCATAGACCAAACAAAAGTGATATTATTTGAATCAGAAGCTCTAAGCATGTTATATATAAGCTCAATCAAAGTCAAAATATACATGACTTCGTCCCATTATACATTATTCAAAAAATCTTTAATAACTTGGGATTTTACCCACATCATCCTCTCTATAGGAACTCCAGTCTTTGCTAAAAACCATGGATTGCAATAAATGATTCAAAAATTGAAATCTTTCCATCATCACTATAGTAGGTGCAAAGCTTTCGCAACAGCAAGTAACTTTAAATGTGACAAATGACTAAAAATGGTCAATCTCAATGAATGATTGATGATAAAATTCCTTCTTAAGAAAAGATCATATAGGAATTCTTTATTTTGATGTTTAACAAAAGCTTATAACAAAATAATGTCTATGAAAATGATTGTCTAAGATATATGATTAAACAATATCTTGAACGTAGTGTCTATCCTAAACGCTAAAGAGACGAGTCTAGCATAAACCTATTAGATTACTCTAAAAGCAATGATTTGATAAATATATTAGCATAAACTCTATAGTACATGGACCACGCTAAATGTTATAATAAACGTCTAATGTTTTAAATCCAAATGTACGATTAATACTCTTTTGTCTATTTCTTTGTTTCTCTTTATTTTGTGTAGATACATAAAGGATAAATTCTTTATTCAAATGTTCTCCACTGGTTTAGAAGAACGTTAAGAGAAGCGAAGAAATTTTACCCTTTGTTCACTTGAATGGATTTGGGGGAGAGTGATTGAGTGAATTTGAGAGGATTTGAAGATAAATTTTGTTGTTGTTTATTTGAGTGAATTTGAAGGTAAGTGAGAGTGGATTTGGAAGCAATGTTTGTCAGAATTAGTGTAGGATTTGATTGATGTGACAGACTAAAAAAATTTACTTCCAAATCCACTCTCACCTACCTCCAAACCCACTCAAATAAACAACAACAAAAATTATTTTCAAATTCTCTCAAATCCATTCAATCACTCTCCCCCAAATCCATTCAAATGAACAAATCCTTAGGAATGTTTCTTTAATTCCTTATGTTTGCCTAATCCATTCAAGCAACACAATTGTATCAACAAAAAGCAAAATAGAATATGACCTTATAGAGGGCTACAACAGCTACATCAAAGTGAATGCTTATGAGTACCATATATTTTTTGAAGTTGCCTATATAAAAAGGACCACATGAAGAAAAGAAAAAATAATCATAATTGCATATACTCTTACGTTGTCATTCTCTTGCATCGTCTAACTCTTTGTAACAAGTTTTCAGATAAACTTTATATTGACTTAAATCCTTTCTAAGAGAGCTTCTCAATTTGTACTTGTTTCTAAAAATACTTTGTTGCTTTTGTATAATTATAAGTGATTTACTACACTTGGTTGTTTAACTAAGGGGGATTAAACATTATAGTCAATTGGAATATTTTATACTGGAATGGTTCCACTTGTTGTAAACCAAGAGTTGTGAAACTCGTTGTATCTTTTCAAAGATAGTGGAACCCTTTAAGAGTGCTTAAAGGGGAACTACACGTAACTCAAATGGAGTAGACTAGTATAAAAAGAAGTCTTCTCTTTGTTATTTGTCTTTTGGATTTCTAAAAGCTTTCTAATAATCCTCAAGTGTGTAACATTGTTTTCAAATCATCTAACCCCTACAAACAACATCTAAGACTAAATTGTTAAAAGTTTTCTTTTAAACTCTATTTAACCCCACCCCTTCCCTATTTATAGAGTTTACCTTTGTTTTTAGTTGGTATGAGAGCTAACCTATTAGGGTTAGTTCATAGTTGAACTAGAGGAACGATCCAAATTCGCAATGAAAAACGAAGGATATGTCATTAATCGCCCTTCCCTATTCAAGGGGGAAAGTTTGACTATTGAAAACAAAGAATTATTGTATTCTTTGAATCCTGCCACATTGACATGGGGGATGTTGTTGATAATGATAACTATATACCCCTAGCTATAGAGGGAAAGCCCCTTGAAAAAAGTCTATGGTTGTTTCTGTATAACGACACACATTATATGATCATTGTACATATAATAAACAAACACATGATTAAGCTAATTGAGAATTAAATAGAATAATAGAACTCACAAATATTAATATTCATCATTATCAATTATACAAACTATACAAATATAGTTACACAACATTATAAAAAACCAGTGGTTTATTCCACATACCCTACCTTATCATCTGTTAATCATAACTGTTTTGTTAAAGTCGCCCTACCATCACAGTAGGCCTGTTTTCCTTGCCTTTTAAGGACTTATGAATAACAACTTCGGTGAATCCCACATCAAACATTATACTTAGCAATGAGCTGGAGTGATGAATCATTATTTGTCTTATTCACTTAGCTTTCTACATATAAATTAATTAGTGAATTGTGCTTAACTGTCTATTATTATCTCAATTTTGTTATTTGGGCTTAATTTGACCAATAATTTATATTTTAATTAATTTAAATTATCCGAGCTTAATTATTTCCATTATTATTTTCAAGGTAAATTTTGGAATTATAATTGGGACTTCAAGAGGGTTGCCACGTTATTTTCTACTTCCACAT